AAGCCTAGATGTGGCAGTGGAGCTAAGTACTTCAATTCGCGTTATCAGATTATAGACGATCTGGAATCTTTAAAGAAAGGCAATCTTTATAGACAAGCTGAAAGTATGGCATTTTTATTGACGAGCTGAAGCAGGTTATATTTAAAAAAGGCTGAAAACAGGAAGTCTTTAATAAGCCAAGATTTGGCGGTGGAGCTAAGTACTTTCATTCGATTTGCGTTAGCAGAAAATATCTGGATCTGGAATCTTTATGGACAGGCTGAACGTAGTGACGAGCTGTTTTTTATAGACGGAGTAAAGCAGGAATAAGCCTAGACGTGCCGGTAGAGCTAAATACTTACATTCCATTTAATTAATTCATTGTAGACTTCGAAGAAAAAATCGCTTTTCGCTCGTTACAATATTTCATAGAAATAATATTCATATCATTATTGGAATTTTCATACAATAAAGTCTATTCAAAAAGACTTTGCTGATTAAATAATTACTCATATGTAGTAGTTTTTTTCTTTGTTTTAATATTACTTAATAAATGTAATGAATTATCAATTACTTTGTTCTAGATTTGGCTGTTGCCAACCCCCCGTTAATTTCCTCAGCCAGTAATATTATAAATTATTCAATCGCTGATGATTATGTGTTGAAAGTCTTCTGTTGTGTTTAGTAATTTATTAAACACCAAAAAGAAAGTTCTGATTACCCTCCATCACATGGGTATAATTATCAGATTTTTTTTCGTATATTGCCTATGACGTTTTGTTCAAAGTTCCAATTAAAAAAGGGGGCAATAACCAAGTACTTGGTTCTGCTGACGGACAGATTGATAAGTATTTCATTTCACTTTTATTGTTTTTTTTTATTTCATTTACCTTAATTACGTTGTTAATATCACAAAATAACTTTTAATGAAAATATATCAGTAAAATTAATTAAATTTTCATGTAAGAGCAATAATTGTTAAAAATTATTTTTTTATTTGGCAGCTGTGAATCAAAAAAAAATTGACGATGTATCATCCAAATTCGATTCAAATTGCAAAAATGGTAGATTCTTGCAGGTTCTTTCAGATTCTTTAAATGAATAATTTCATTAGTATTTCTGTGAATGAATGATTCCGATTCTAGAACGAAGATTATCGATTATTTTCGATTTGATTGAATTTTTAATTGTTTTTTCTAGCAACATGAACTCTAAAGCTGATAACATTAAATATTCGACTTCAACTAAATAGATGCAATAGTAAGAAATTGAGAAAGGGCTAAGCTGTAGCTGTGACGTTTCCCCTTATCAGTTCTATGTTGTTTTTTTAAAGCTGATAAGGAAACCATCTGTGCATAGAATCTTAAATGTTCAAACGGGGTTTTAGGATCAACATTAAATGCAACTTCATAGACAAGCCGAACCAGAAGCAGTTTATAGGCGATCCGAAACAGGGAGTATAATACGATCTGAAGCAGAAATAAGCCTCAATGTGGAGGTGGAGCTAAGTCGAGGGGGGTTTTAAGATCGATCAAGTCTTCGTACACAAGCTGAATCAAAATGTTTTTTAGAAAAGAGCTAAATCAGGGAGTCAAAGATCCGAAGCAGTCTTTATATTCGATTTGAAGCAGAAAAAAGCCTCGATGTTGCGGTGGAGCTAAGTACTTTCCTTCGATTTATTTTTTTTTAATATTTTTAGGGGTCATCTAAAGTCGTAGATTTTTTAAAAATATTTTTAGGGTCATCTAAAGGCGTGGATTTTTTAAAAATATTTTAGGGGTCATCTAACGGCGTGGATTTTTTAAAAATATTTTAGGGGTCATCTAACGGCGTGGATTTTTTAAAAATATTTTTAGGGGTCATCTAAAGACGTGGATGTTTAAAAAATATTTTTAGGGGCCATCTAAAGGCGTGGATGTTTAAAAAATATTTTTAGGGGTCATCTATATGCATGGACTTTTAAAAAATATTTTTAGGGGTCATCTATATGCATAGACTTTTAAAAAATATTTTTTAGATACCATCCATCAGCGTGGATTTGAAAAAAAATAATTTTTATATGGTTTTTCGTTCCTATAGCTGATACGGAAGCAATCTGTTCTTAGAATCCCAAAATAGTCGAACGGGGTTTTAAGATCGATCAAGATCAAGTCTTCGTAGACAAGCTGAACCAGAAGGTTTTTAGAAGAGAGCTAAAGCAGGGAGTCAAAGACGATCCGAAGCAGTCTTTATAGGCGATCTGAAGCAGAATTAAGCCATGATGTGGCGGTGGAGCTAAGTACTTTAATTAGAATTGCGGTTAGATTTCATTGTGGATTTAAAAAATATATATATTTTTTAAAGACCATATATAGCTGTCGATGCGACTAAAACTGAAAGGTCGAGGTATTCGTAAACAAACTGAACCAGAAGGTGTTTTTTAGAAAAACTGAAGAAAGGAGCCAAAGAAGCAGTCTTTATATATAATCTGAAACAGAATTAAGCCTTGATGTGGCAGTGGAGCTAAGTACTTTCATTCAATTTGCGTTAGTAGATTTCATGGTGGATTTTTCGAAAAAAAATATATTTTTTAAAGACCAACTATAGGTGTCGGTGCGAATAAAACTGAAAGGTTGAGTCTTCGTAAACAAGCTGAACCAGAAGGTTTTAGAAAAGAGCAGAAGCAGGAAGTCAAAGACGATCCGATGTCGTCTTTATATACAACCTAAATCAGAAATAAGCCTTGATGTTGCGCTGAAGCTAAGTACATTTATTCGATTTGCGTTAGCATATTTCATGGTGGATTTAAAAATATATTTTTTAAAGACCATATATAGCTGTCGATGCTACTAAAACTGAAAGGTTGAGCCTTCGTAGACAAGCTAAACCAGAAGGTTTTTCGAAAAGAGCTAAAGCAGGGAGTCAAAGACGATCCGAAGCAGTCTTTATAAGCGATCTGAAGCAGAATTAAGCCACGATGTGGCAGAGAAGCTAAGTACTTTCATTCAATTTGCGTTAGAAGATTTCATGGTGAATTTTTCAAAAAAAAAATATATATATTTTAAAGACCATCTATAGGTGACCATGCGACTAAAACTGAAAGGTTGAGGTATTCGTAAACAAGCTTTACCAGAAGGTGTTTTTTAGAAAAGCTGAAGAAAGGAGACGATCCGAAGCAGTCTTTATATACAATCTGAATCAGAAATAAGCCTTGATGTTGCGCTTGAGCTAAGTACATTTATTCGATCTGCGTTAGCAGATTTCATGCTGGATTTTTCAAAAAAAAAAAATTATTTTTTAAAGACCAACTATAGGTGTCGGTGCGACTAAAACTGAAAAGTTGAGGTCTTCGTAGACGATCCGAAACCATATAATAAGCTTTCTGAAGCAGAATTAAGCCTCGATGTGGCGGTGGAGCTAAGTACTTTCATTCGATTTGCGTTAGCATATTTCATGGTGGATTCCAAAAAAATAGGGATCATATAAAACAGTAGATTTAAAAACAGGAAAAAAATATTTTTTAGACGTGGATTTAAAAAGGAATTGGCGAAGATTTTTTAAAAATATTTTTTTAGGGATTATCTATAGGCGTAGATTTTTTAAAAATATTTTTAAAGGGTTATCTTTTGGCGTGGATTTTTTAAAAATATTTTTTAAAGGGTTATCTATAGGCGTGGATTTTTTAAAAATATTTTTTTGGGTTTATCTATAGGCGTGGATTTTTAAAAATATTTTTTTGGGTTTATCTATAGGCGTGGATTTTTTTAAAAATATTTTTTTGGGATTATCTATAGGCGAGGATTTTTTAAAATATTTTTTTAGGGATTATCTATAGGCGTAGATTTTTTAAAAATATTTTTTTGGTTTATCTATAGGCATGGATTTTTAAAAATATTTTTTGGGATTATCTATAAGCGTGGATTTTTTTAAAATATTTTTTTGGTATTATCTATAGGCGTGGATTTTTAAATATATTTTTTGGATTTTTTAAAAATATTTTTTTAGGGATTACAAAAATCAAATAATTTTTTAAAAATATTTTTAAATTATGGAATATTTATATAGGTGTGGATATTTAAAAATATTTTTTTGTTTCTTAAAGGCGTGGATTTTTAAAAATATTTTTTTAGGGATTATCTATAGGCGTGGATTTTTTAAAAATATTATTTTAGGGATTATCTATAGGCGTGGATTTTTTAAAAATATTTTTTTAGGGATTATCTATAGGCGTGGATTTTTTAAAAATATTTTTTTAGGGATTATCTATAGGCGTGGATTTTTTAAAAATATTTTTTTAGGGATTATCTATAGGCGTGGATTTTTTAAAAATATTTTTTAGGGATTATCTGTAGGCGTGGATTTTTTAAAAAATATTTTTTTAGGGATTACCTTTTTCCTTCTAATTTAATTTACTATTTATACCAAAAACTTTTAATTGATTAAAATTGTTTGTTAGTATTTGTTTATATAAAACTATTTCGTTTAATTTTTAATGACAATCAGTTTAATCAAAATATAGCACCCATTACAATAAACAACACGCAATGTTCCCATACAATACAAGAATAAAAATTTCTCCGCTACTTATTTATAAATATTTAATGGGGTTTTAAATAGCGAATAAGTAATTAAAAAATTAAATCGTTATACAGTATGTGTGTGAGAGAGAAGGGGCGTGAAAGAAAACTGGGGGACAGTTGCAAATAATTTTTGAAAAAGTTTTAAAATATAGTCTTACAAGCAAATATTTTTAAGGACCATTAATAGGCGAGGATTTTTTTAAAAATATTATTTTTAAGGCCTACCTACCTATTGATTTTCAATACATTTTTTGCACTTCGTTTCTCAATCCGATTACTTGATAAGATAGCTTGATATGATTTATTGCTGGCGATTTTAAACAATAACCCCTTTAAGTTTATAATTACGACAACCGTGTACAGACAGATAGTAAACTATAAATTATTGTTATAAATTTTGTAAGATATTTTTTTTAAAAAATATATATTTTTTAATTTTTATTTTAATTCTTTTCTTTACAGGTCAGCAATTTTCTATTTTTATTATTTCCGCCCGTACTTATGTATCTTTTCAAAGAATATGGACGTTTTGTAACGAAGGGTATACATTTACTCTGGGCCCTCTTAATTATTGTTGGCCTCAGTTCGATGTACTTCCATGCTACGCTAAGTTTAATAGGTCAACTGCTCGATGAATTGGCCATATTGTGGGTATTTATGGCGGCGTACTCACTCTTCTGTCCTAAGCGGTATTTTCCGAAATTTTGCCGAAATAATAGGTAAGGATTAAAATGACAACTTTGCATTTTTTTTTATTATTTACTTTTAGGGATCTACACAAGACGTGGATTTTTTTAAAAATTTTTTGAGGGTACTACATATACATATGTTTTTATCCTTTATATATTTATCTAATCAATAATTCTATTAAAAAACAAAACACATTGCACATTTTTTTATTTCCCTGCCATTAGTTTTTTATTCCCTATGTCATTATCCTAATACCCTCGGCCATTATTTAAACTAATTACATTTAATTATCTAGATATACAGTGAGCAGCAAAAGTCAAAGGTACCCCATACAAATCAAAAAATATTCAGTAATTCCTCAAAAAGTAATTCACAAAATTTCAAATATATATTTTTATTTCATGTATTCAATACTATACCACAACAAATTAAAGTAATATTTCATTTTTTTATTAAAACAAAATATAAAACAAAATCGACATAGTGCCAAGTCCATATTTTTGCACAGCATACGTCTTGGTACCCATGGAGAAAAATAATGACTTATTTAATATTACTTAATTTTTATAATTAAATTGACTTACCTAATATTTGGTAGAATATCCCTTGAGTTTTCAAAGCTTCATTCAATCGTTCGGGCATTGACTATACAAGTTTTTTAGTGTAGTCCGACGATATTTTACCCCATTCTGTCAGAAATATTTCTTTGAGTTGGGCCTTACTGGAAATTGTATGATTTCGGATGCGTTTATCTAGATGATTCCATAGGTGCTCAATCGAATTTAAATCGAGGCTTTGTGGAGGTGTCATCAGCATGTCTGGTGTATCATTGTCCTGTTGGAAGTAATAATTATCACGAATGTTGAGTTTTTCAGTACTTTGATTCAAATTTTTGTTTCAAAATATTCATGTAAACTGTTTTATTCATTATTTCCTCAATGAATACCAAATTGCCAACACCAGTTGCTGACAATGCATCCCCATACCATTAACCCACATCCTCCGTGATTTACTGTTTTCCGAGTATACTTTGGATTGAGCTCTTCGCCTTTTTGTCGCCACACCAAAGAGCATCCATCCGATCCAAATATGTTACAATTTCGTTTCGTCCGAGAAAATAACTTTCTCCCATAACTCTTTTGTTTTTACTGTTTTCCGAGTATTCTTTGGATTGAGCTCTTCGCCTTTTTTCTGCCGCACCAAAGACCCAAATATGTTAAATTTCGTTCACTGCTTTCCCAAATGATTCTTTTAAGTCTGCAGCGATTTTAGGAGCTCTGGCAAATGGATCTGTTTTTAATGAAATATATTATATTCAATTTTTGGTTCTTCTCTGATGCTGAGCTTCCAGGGACGGCTTGATCAATTATATTCTCTTTTTTATATCGATTAACCACTTTTTGGACTGCTGACTTGGTTCTGTTTATCGTTTTACCTATTTCGGAATAGGTTTTTCACAACACAAATGTTGCCAGACCGCTTAACGTTCTGAGCCATCAACACACTTCCAAAACGATTGTGTAAAAACATGTGTATACCATGTAAGATTAATTATCCATCGCTACAACAAACATCTGCTTTGAAAAGGACTGTTTCTAGAATGAAGACAAATATCGAACTTTGAAAATTTTGAATTTAATTCGCATATGCAAGTTTCGCATCAGGGCGAAATAAATAAAAGTTATCAACATATGACATTTGTAAAGCCAAATAGCCCAATATGCCTGCTGGGCCGCTTAAACCAACGGCGAAATGCGTCGAATGATGGTGGGTACGTAGGTTCTTCTCCTTACTTACTTAGCTGGCTTGTTACAGAACGGTTGTTCCATAAGCCGAGCTTAAAAAAAGATTTTCAAGCGCTTCGGTCTTGTGCGCAAATCCACCAATTTGGAAGACCACTTTCCAATATGTTGTTTTCTACTTAGTCTTTCCATCTAATTCGTGGCCTTCCCCTTCTACGGGAACCATCAGTAGGCTCGTTTTTATATGCCTTTTGAGCTGGGGCATTCTCATTCATCCGCACAACATGCCACCTAGCCACCGCAGTCGCTGCAGATCAATACGACTGACTATGTCGATGTCCGCGTATAAATGGTAAAGCTCGTGGTTCATTCGACGCCGATATTCACCGTCGACCCAGATCGACCGTAGATCATTCGGAGAATTTTTCTTTCAAACGCCCCAAGAGCTGGCTCATCTGCTTGCGCAAGTACCCATGCTTCTGATCCATATAATATCACGGGTAGTATCAGCGTCTTGTAAAATGTGAGTTTGGTCTGGCGGGAGGTGGCCTTGCTATTCAGTTGTTTGCTCACACCATAGTAGTATCTGTTGGCCAACACTATCCTTCTCCGAATTTCAAAACTGATGTCATTCGTTTTATTTATGGCCGTAATAAGGTATAAAAAAGTCTTTAACTACCTCGAAGCTATAGTTCTCAAGTTCCACAGTTGGTCCGAGTCTACTGGACGTCTTGCGCGTTGATATCATCAGCTTGGTTTTCTCTCCGTTTACTGCCAGACCCACTTTGGCAGACTCCTTTTCAATTTGTTCAGGTGGCTGTTACCGCTCGCAATATTCGACCCATTATATCGATGTCATCGGCGTAGGCGAGTAACATGTGTTGTTTGGTGTACAAAATGTCATTTCTGTTCATCTTTGCGTCTCGTATGACCTTTTCCAGCAGGATGTTAAAAAGATCACACGACAAACTGTCACCTTGTCTGAATCCTCGTTCGGTATTGAAGGGCTCCGATAGGTCCTTTCCTACATTAACTGCTGACCTTGTGCCACATAAAGTTAACCTTCATAGCCGTATTAATTTTGCAGGAATGCCGAACGTAGACATGGTTTTAAACACCTCTGAACGGATAGGGCTGTCGAATGCGGCTTTATAGTCGACTAATAGGTGGTATGTGTCGAAGTATTTTTCGTGGGTCTTTTCCAGGATTTGGCGCAGAGTGAAAATCTGGTCAATGGTGGATTTGCCAGGTCAAAAGCCGCATTGGTATGGTCCGGTGAGGTGATGTCATTGACCATTGGCTTCAATCGTTCACACAGCACACTGGATATCACTTCATATGCGATGGGAAGGAGACTTATTCCTCTATAGTTGGCACATATCGTCTTGTCACCTTTTTTTGTGCACGGGACACAGGATGCTGAGGTTCCAATCATTGGGTTCTTCTCCTGGCATTCCTTTTTCTTAAATTTGTAAATAATTTTTTGAGTAATTACTGCATAGTTTTTTTATTTGTATGGGGTACCATGACTTTTGCTGCTCACTGTATTTGTTCGAAATGCTAACATATGTATTTGAACAAAGGCATATTACAACACAATAGATGACCGTTCTACTTACTTCTTGTCCTTCTGCTTCGTTTTCCTTTCAGACGAACATTCGGTTTATTGATGTTTACATGTGCCATTATTGCAACCGTTATGTCGGTATGGAAACCAATTGTCAATGCCTTCGTCCTAATGGCAATGGGTGTTCCCACCATGCTGATGTTATATCGGGAGCTGAAGAGGTAAGTGGAGAACATTTTTTTACAAAGAAGTGTTTTTTTCTTCTAAGGCCTATATAAGGCGTGGATTTTTTTAAATTATTTTTTCAAGGGCCTATATAAGGCGGGGATTTTTTAAAATTATTTGTTCAAGGGCCTATATAAGGCGTGGATTTTTTCAAGGGCCTATATAAGGCGTGGATTTTTTAAAATTATTTTTTCAAGGGCCTATATAAGGCGTGGATTTTTTAAAATTATTTTTTCAAGGGCCTACATAAGGCGTGGATTTTTTAGAATTATTTATTTCTTCGTATACAAAAATAGCACGCGTGGTATTATCGCACACTCCGCAACACAATCACACATAATTACTTTTCCGAATGTTTATAGATAACATAAAAATGTACTTTGTCATATTTTTAGTTTCTAGAACAACATAATAAAATCCATTCAAATTAAAATGGTATTAGAGTATTCGATATTATATCACCTTTAACAATAATTCCATGAAATTCCATAAAATTGATGACACCCCGCACACAGGTGCCGATACTCGCACGATATCATCACATAGATAAGAATATTCAATGCATGTTAATTTCATTTTTTTTTTCGAATACTCCATTAGGCAATGCAAAAACAAAAAAATAGTAACGCATAACGCATTTATCAATGACATAAAAAATATTATTAATTAAAATGTTATTTTGGAAGAAGTTAGAAAAATTAATTTATGATTTATAAAATAGAGGTTAGATATATAAATGTTCGGGAACACTGTTGAAATTTTTTAAAACATTTACATTACAACCTTTTTCAGGGTTAACCCACTTTATAAGGATTCATTTGACAAATAGGCAATGAAATTGACAATTGAAACCCACTGGGTTAACTAAATCCGGTACAATGTAAACGTACTATAAAAATCTGTTTGAATGTTTTATAGCAACATGAATATTGGTACGCTTTTTATTTTGATTATCATACTTACTTAGCTGGTATGTGACAGAACTTTCGTTCCATAAGCCGAGCTTAAAAAAGATTTCCAGGCGTGTCGGCCTTTTGCGCAGTTTTTTTCAATTTGAAAGACCATATTCGACAATGTTATCTTCCACTTGATCTTTCCATCTTATTCGTGGCCTTACCCTTCAGCGTGCGTGAACCATCAACTGGTTCGCTTTTATATGCCTTCTGAGCTGGAGCATCTTCATCCACTCTCACAACACCCTCATCCATTCTCACAACATAACAATGTCGATGTCCGATAATAGCTGGTACAACCCATGGTTCATTCGACGGCGATATTCACCATCAACGCAGATCGGCCCATAGATCTTTAGGAGAATTTTTGTCTCAAACACTCCAAGCTTAAAAAAGATTTCCAGGCGCGTCGGTCAATATTCGAAAATGTTATCTTCCACTTGATCTTTCCATCTCATTCGTGGCCTTCCCCTTCTGCGTGCGTGAACCATCAGGTGGTTCGCTTTTATGTACCTTCTGGGCTGGGGCATCTTCATCCATTCTCACAACATGTCCTAGCCAACGTAGTCGCTGCAGCTCAATACGTCTAACAATGTCGATGTCCGAGAATAGCTGACACAACTCATGGTTTATTCGACGGCGATATTCACCATCAACGCAGATCGACCCATTGATCTTTCGGAGAATTTTTCTCTCAAACACTCCAAGCTTAAAAAAGATTTCCAGGCGCGTCGGTCCATATTCGACAATGTTATCTGCCACTTGATATTTCCATCTTATTCGTGGCCTTCCCCTTCTGCGAGCGTGAACCATCAGCTGAGGCATCTTCATCCATTCTCACAACATGGCCTAGCCAACGTAGTCGCTGCAGCTCAATACGTCTAACAACTCATGGTTCATTCCACGGCGATATTCACCATTAACGCAGATCGGCCCTTAGATCTTTCGGAGAATGCCAAAGTACCCAAGCTTCTGATCCATATAACAGCACAGGTAGTATCAGCGTCTTGTGAAGTCTGAGTTTGGTCTGGCGGGAGGTGGCCTTGTTTCTAAACTGCTTACTTAGACCATAGTAGCATTTGTTGGCCATCACAATCCTTCTCCGAATTTCAAAACTGATGTCATTCGTTTTATTTATGGCGGTACCAAGGCGGTATATAAAATCTTTGACTACCTCGAAGCTGTAGTTCTCAAGTTGCACAGTTGGTTCGAGTCTACTAGATGTCTTGCTCGTTGATATCATCAGCTTGGTCTTCTCGCCGTTTACCGCCAGACCCACTTTGGCAGACTTCTTTTCAATTTGTTCAAAGGTGGCTGTTACCGCTCGCAATGTTCGACCCATTATATCGATGTCATCGGCGTAGGCGAGTAACATGTGTTGTTTGGTATACAGAGTGTCATTTCTGTTCACTTTTGCCTCTCGTATGACCTTTTCCAGCAGGATGTTGAAAAGGTCACACGAAAAACTGTCACCTTGTCTGAATCCTCGTTCGGTATTGAAGGGCTCCGATAGGTCCTTTCCTACTTTAACTGCTGATCTAGTGCCACTTAAAGTTATCCAGCATATCCGTATTAACTTTGAAGGAATGCCGAACGTAGACATGGCTTTAAACACCTCTGAACGGATAGGGCTGTTGAATGCGGCTTTATAGGACTTTCGAATACGGCTTTATAGTCAACAAATAGGTGGAATGTGTCGATGTGTTTTTCGTGGGTTTTTTTCAGGATTTGGAGCAGAGTGAAAATCTGGTCAATGGTGGATTTGTCAGGTCTGAAGCCACATTGGTATGGTCCAATAATGTCATTGACCATTGGCTTCAATCGTTCACACGTCGCACTGAATAGCACTTTATATGCGATGGGAAGGAAACTTATTCATCTATAGTTGGTCTTGTCTCCTTTTTTGTGCACGGGACACAGAATGCTGAGGTTCCAATCTTTGGGCATGCATCTAGTCAAATTGTACTAATCAGCTGGTGCGTGCTCTTACCAGTATCTGACCACCAGCCTTGAATAGTTCGACTTGTAACACATCGACACCTGCACTCTATACCGTCATCTATTATTGGTTCTGGGGTACCCACTTCACTGCTATTATTTGATACCAGAAGTTTCTCAAAATGCTCCTTCCAGATCCTCAGCACGCTGTCCGTATCTGTCACCAGGTTTCCTTCTTTATCTCTATAGGAGGATGTGCCTGCACCAAAGCCTACGGTTTGGTGTTTTACCCGTTGGTAGAATTTTCAGACTTCATTCATGGCAGCTATAATACAGGGCGTAATCATCTGATATACTTACGTCAGTCCCTTTCCATCGCATTTCCTGCAAGGCAATAATATCGGCTTTGTACGTCTTGAGTACTTGGTATCTATCATCCCCTACGCCACAACTCTATAGGACATTTCCATCAGGCTATGGACCCAGGACGTTGGAAGAAAGTGGCTGATCTTCAATAACGAGTGGCAGGAAATTTTTCCAACAAAATGAGTTCGTCGTTGTACCAAATTGAGAAATTGGACGAAAATAATTATGATACATGCAGTGTCCATATGAGATGTGTACTGATCCATAGCGGGTGTTGCAAATACATGAATGGTCAATGTGACAAGGATCCAACCTGGACAGCAGAAATGATTTTTAGAATGGTAGTCTGATGACGAGAAGGTTTTGGCAACCATTACGTTGAGTCTTAAGACGTCTCAACTAAATTACGTAAAAAATTGTAAGACCTCCAAAGAAGCGTGGTAAAAATTGAGAGATGTCTATAGGCCCAAGGGACCCTTATATAAAGTGACTCTGTACAAAAAGATTCTAAACCAGCATTTTGCGGAATATAAGAGCATGGCCGATTACTTGTATGATTTCACCGAAACAGAGAAGCTGATGGACGTTGGCATCGAAATTCAAGAGGAGGTGCTAGTTATTATACTGCTTTCAAGTTTGGAAAAAGAATACGAAAACGTCGTCGTCGTCATTGAAACCAGAGACATGTTACCGGATTTGTCCGCTTTAAAGGTAAAACTTTTGGAAGAGTATGAACGAAGGAATCAAGATAAAGGTGATGAAAATACAGCAGGTCAACAGGCGTTTGGAGCGATGGCAAGCAAAACTAAGAAGCCGAATTACAGAAAAAAAAACGATGGTAAATGTTTCACGTGTGGTAAGAAGCGGCACTATGCGAACAAAAGTAGAATGAGAAGTGGAGATCATAAATCTTAGTCTATGATGGTGTTGGCAGAAAAATAGAAGGTGATTTAAATTCCAAGTGAATAATTGACAGTGGAGCCACGTGCCATATCAGCTCAAACCGTAAGTTTTTCACCACATCGGAGAAAGCAGCTGCATTGTAAAATTTGATTACAAATAGGAAGTAGTGACAGATGGAGAAAAAGTTGTGCTGAAAGTCATGAAAGAGACCAAATTGTGAGTGGATTGAAATTGAGTGAATCGATGGTTGTAGATTCCTGTAAGACAGGCATGGTTGGAAAAATTCATGCAAAGCCTTTTCCCAAACATGATGAAAGCAAATGTATGGAAGTGCTGGACTTGACATTCGGATGTATGCGGACCGATTGATGTGGAATCCCTAGGTGGTTCGACATATTTTGTCACGTTTATCATGACAAGTCTAGACGCATTTTATCTACTTTTTGAAGCAGAAATGTGAGGTGTTCGATAAATTCAAAATTTTCAAAAGCATGGTGGAACGCCAAAAGGTAAAGTTATAAAAATCATGAGAAGTGATAACGGCGGGGAATATGTTAGCAACAAATTTAATAAATATCTAGAAAAAATGAAACAGTCTCTTATACTCCCCAACAAAATGGCGTAGCCGAACGCGCAAATCGAACGATAGTGGAAATGGCTACCAGTCCCTTATACTCCCCAACAAAATAGCGCAAATCGAACGACAGTGGAAATGGTTTGAATAAAAGTTTGTGGACAGAAGCTGTTGCAACAGTTTATATAAGAAATCGTTGCTCGACAAGGACATTGGATGGAATGACACTATATGAAGTATGAAGTGGTCGGAAACCCAAAGTTAACACCATAAAGGGCTTAACAGGATGCTCGCGTTGAGCCATCCGTCGCGTTATATCTTATCGAAAATACAACAACCACAAGGCAATGATAAGCATTCTGCTTAGCCCTTTAAGTATTCGGATGTCAGACAGTGGCGTTGAATAAAAATACAAAAGGCAAGTTTGAAGAGAAAGGTTCTAGTCTTATTATGGTGGGTTATTCTTTAGTAGCAAGGCGTATAGATTGTATGACATCAGAACCCAAAAAGTAGTAGAGCGTCGTGATGTCATATTCGATGAAAGCAAAAAGCCTGGTGCTGGATTTTATGACGAAGACAAAGAATTCAATTCCTTTGATTATGATGAGAGCCATAAGAAACCACTTGAGAAAATAGGAGAGAATTTAGATGAATATTCACAAGATCATGGAGATGGCCAAAATGAACAAGAAATAGGTAGTGAGAACCAATAACCAAGCTGGAGACAACCCATCAGATGAATATAGATAGTACAGATGAAGAATTGCGAGCGTTTACGCCGATTGAAGAGGAGTAACTGTTGGTACATGAATTTGAAATAACGGATAAAAAATTATTGGAACATTTTTTGGGAATTGAAGTAAGTCGTGAAGGAAAAACGGGTGAGATTGACATTAATCATGGCATGTACATAAACGAACTACTAGAAGAGTATGGAATGATGTAATGTAAGACTGCATCATTACCATTGTCACCTCGATTTCAAACGGCATGTAATGGCAATTGTGAGAGGGTAAATGAAACACTATACCAGTCGCTTATATGGGCGCTTATATACCTAGCAGTAACATCGCGTCCAGATATACTTCATTCCGTTTCCAAGTTATTTCAAAGGAATGCAGATCCTCATATAGAGCATTTTAAAGCGGCAAAGCAGATTTTAAGGTATTTTAAAGGAACGCAAGATGTTAAATTGAAATTTGGAATTGGTAATGGAATGCTTATAGAATATGCAGATGCTGATTAGGGTGGATGTGCTACGGATCGGAAATGTTACCCCGGATTTGTGTTTTATATTGATGGCTCCGTAATATCGTGGGAATAAAAGAAACAAGCAACGACAGCATTGAGCAGCACTGAAGCGGAGTACATATCGGCATCTAATGCATCAAATGAAGCTGTATATCTAAGAAGATTGTTGGAAGAATTAGGATTTTTGGAATGATGATAGCGTAGAGTTGACGGTGGATAACCAATGAGCGTTGAAGCTGGCGACAAACCTCGTTTACCACAACAGGACAAAACAAATAGTCATTAAATACTATCATATCCGAGACTTAATTTTAATATTTTTAGAACAATCCATATGTAGACCCTTGAAAAAATATTTTTCAAAAAATCCACAACTTAAATTTTTCTTTCTTTTTTCCAGAGTAAAAGATGAACGTGTCTACCGTTTGGGCCTACGCTCCACCGCCGTCTGGGGCATTGCCGTCTTGTGTTGGGTCAGTGATCGTTTCTTTTGCTGTTTGAAATTTCCATATCTGCATGGTTTTTGGCATGTCTTCATTTTTATTGCCGCCTATACCCTCCTCGTGGTCTATGCCTATTTGTTTGTTGAAAGTGAGCTGCCGCAAAGGCAGCCACTTCTGCAATATTGGCCGGTAAATGAATTTGAATTCGGTATACCGTTTATATGTATTCGCAATCCAGGTAAAGAGTTCAAGAATACGATTTGAATACGTGACAACAACAAAACAGAAAAATACAACAAAACCAAAGGTGATAAATTCAGGAATAGTCAATGAAAACAAAAAAAAAACACACACACACAAAATATCAATTATTTAACAAAGTGTTAAAAAATTGGCTAAAATGTTATATATTTGTTATTTTTATTATATAGTTGCAAATTGAAAAACAAAAATATTTATATATAATTATATATACATATATAGGGAGCCATATTAGAGTATTTAATTTTATTAGATTTAAATTGCCTAGTTAACAAATTATGTAGATGTAAACGCAGCGTGTTTTATTTTTAATGAATATGACTAGACCAAAATTAGCCTATAGTTGCCCACAAGGGATTGGGGAATTTTTTAATAATATAAAGTAATAATATACCAAGGGTGTCCCCTATTCAAAGGGAATTTATAAGGGAACAATAAACCAAAAAAAAAATAAATAAATAATCCATATAATTTTTATTGAATTAAAAAATAAATACATTCAAATTTGGGACACCCTGTAGAGAGCTAATTTTTAGATAGCTAACATAGCAGTATTAATTATTTGTTTAAAAAAATATATTACATTACCCCAATAGTTTGTTATGTGGCCAGACAGCTTTACAATCAACGGTTGCCTTGTTTATACAGGGTTCTTTAGTAACAATTTGCCTAGACAGGGTTATATAGTTACGTTTCTTTACACAGTGACAGAATTGTTATCAAACAAAATAATAGTGGAAATTTCTTATATAAATTATAAAATATAAATAAATTGAAAAGATAAATTAATATAAAATAAAAATAAATAACATAAAAAAAATATAAAATTAAAATAAATAAAATAAAAATATTAAATAAGAATAAATAAAATAAATATAAAATAATACATGACACATCGCCATAGGGAAATATATAAAAATTATATTACTATTAAAAAATAATACAAAAAATAAATAAAATTAAAAAATGATATAAAATAAAAATAAATAATATAAAATAAAACATGACACATCGCCATAGGGAAATATATAAAGTTAGAAAAAAACAAAAGCCAAAATATTGAAAATTATATTACTCTTATTTTTTTAATCCCTGCCACTTCCATTAAAATTACAAAAACAAAGGAATTTTATAAACGAAAAAAGACAAAACAACTTTAATATTATATTATTATTATTCTTAATACTTAAAAAAGGTTGTAATAAAAAACAAAAAAATATTTAGCATATTAAAATATACCACACATACTTTCTAACTACTTATAATGCAAAAAAAAACAACAAAAAATTAAAGAAAATTATAAACTATATAATATGTTATAAAAAAATATTTAAATAAATATATTAAAGAGCGTTTAGACTACGCAAACCATCCGATCTCAAATGTCAATAACATAGCGTATGCCATATGGCACAATAAAATAGGTACTCCATTTTGGAACAGCTGACTATCCGATTAACTGTCAAAGTGCATAGTGTATATCATGATGCAATAATAAGGTCATGTATCAAAACGAAAACTTTTCTTTTTGTCTCGACCATATGTGAAATTTTTCCTTATAATATTCCACATGGTTGGCAACGTTTCCCATCGAAATTATCCTCTATGTCAGTCAATCAAGTCGTCAGCTGCTCTAAATTGACTACCTATTTATTGTGCCATGGTCTAGTTCATAACACAATAAATAGATAGTCCATTTAGAGCAGCTGATGTCTCGATTAACTGTCAAAGTGCATAATTTTTACTTGAATTCGATGTGCAGTGTTACCAACCATGTGAACTATTATAAGGAAAAATTTGACAGATCATCGAGACAAAAATAAATGTTTTTGTTTGATATATCACCTTATTATTGCATCATGTTCTAGTTAAATTTGACGTGCAGAGTTGCCAACCATATTACTAGATGTTTTTGTTTTGATTATTTCATCATGTCATACACGATTAGCGTCTGTATTTTATTTGACATATACGCTAGGGAATTGTCATTTGAATTCATCTGGATTTCATAAATCTAAACGTAAATTTAGACTGTTAAATAAATCTTGCTCTCTCTCTCTCCTTCTTTTACTCTACTGGAAAATTTTACCAAAGAAATAATGCATCAAAAATTTAGTTTAGTTTTATATATTTAAATAAAATAAATCCCAAGCTACAAACAAATTGTAAGAATAGTAAATTATATACAAATGCAAAATAATATTAGCTTTAATAAAAATAATTGTTAAAAGACAAACAATGTCACAAATTATATACCTAAATATCTATAATATATCATCAGTTATAGTTAGAAAGCAAATAAATATAACTCCTTGTTAAATGCTATATAAAAAATAAATAATAATGAATATATTTTATCAAAATATAAAAGTTGTGTTCTTGATTTATTAAAATAATTTCTGGAAATTCAATTTGTTTAATTCCAATAATATTTTTTGAAAATTTGTAAATTTTCTGATATCTATAATTTCGTTGGTCCGATACATAATTGCCAACCCTCTTATGTGACATGTATTTAAACGTGTAAAACCGACTGTGCGCCATCTACATTCAATTTACCGTGTTACACCAGCAATGGGGTTGATGCAAAGGATGATAAACTTTTTATTGCCATATTGAAAAAAATTTTTATTAAATTTAAAATAAAGCACTAAACATACTCTGTGATATTTTGTATACGCTATTTATACTTTTTGTATATTGTAATATCATTTGTAACACTAAATTTATATTAAGCTGATATTCCAGTGTATTATTAACTAAAAAATCATGCATGTCTTTGAGATTTTAATGCACTTCTGTTGTACACTTTTTCTGTGTTATAAACTGTCCTGCACTGAACATACGCATAGGGCGACAATTTGCCTGATGACAATGCCGCAGTGAACACACCATTAGACCGTTATAAAATGGCAGTGCTTAGCCAACACTGAACATACCCTTTGTTGTTTTCGTTTAACTCATTAAATTCAGCGTTCTAACATTGAACTGATTAAAATCAACAGGAAAAATATATTTATTTTCATAATATAATATATGTACTGCTCATGATGTGCGTATGTGGCTAACAATGAATATCGCACATGTCCTGCCACATCCACCGCAATCTCCAGACCTCAACCCCATTGAGCATTTGTGGGAGGAACTGGACAGACGTGTAAAAAGGCGGCCCATTTCCAATAAGTCAGAACTTAAGCAGGCACTTATAGAAGAATGGCAAAAAATAGGGGAGGAAACTACCAAGAAATTAGTGCATTCCATGCCAAACCGTTTGGACGCAGTAATCAAGCAAAAGGGCTTGCCAACAAAGTACTAAATAGACAAATATTTTATATATTTAAGATATAAATATAAGTGTGCCAATACTTTTGTGCGATGAAATTGCCTTATTTTTTTGTTAAATAAAATATAAAAAAGTTTTAAAAAAAATTTTTCAAATAAAAATTTCTGCATTAGTTAAGTAACAACATGGGTTCTTTCGGAAAAATATTTTTTTGTGTAGACTGGGAGACGGTGCTGAAAAATAGCGGTCAAGTTAAAAATTGATGATTGTGCCAATACTTATGTGTGGCACTGTAATTACTTATTTACCGTTATAAAATAAAAGGGTTTTTACCCAAAACAAATTTAACAGTAAAACATCGAAACTGAACATACCCCACATACAATGTTCCCTTGTAACACTGAACACAAAATGGCAGTTTTATGACAACACTGAACATACCCTTTGTTATTTCATATTTATATGCAGTTTTAATTTCTAACTAATTAAAGTCAACAGAAAAATATATTTATTTTGATAATAGACTATAATTACATATTAATGGTCATAAAATAAAGTTCTTTTTTACCGAAGGCATTTCAACAGTAAAGCATTAAAACTGAACATACGCCCATACATATTTCCTTTCTAACACTGAACACAACCTGCATTTAATTGATATTTTTGGACCAATAATAAACAAATATAAGATGATAGAAGGAATGAAAAATAATTATATTGAAAAAAACACATAATTACATATTTGCCATTATAAAATATACTTTTTATAATCACATTCTTGCAAGGGAAGGCCAACTCACTGAACATACTCTCTACTGCTTTTACTTGTTAACACTGAACACAACCTAATTTAATTTATATATTTTGACTTTGAATTGAACCAATAATAAAAAATAGATGACCCTATGGGCTAGGCTCTGGTTTATGAATCAAATTGAATTGAAATCATAGCCATACATTTAATTTCTATACTTTAAGGACATTTAAACTGTGATCCACTGAACACACCTCCTTACATTTTTGTTTCTCTTTTGATTTCTCCTTGACTCATAACATTATTCGCAATTTTCTTTCTCCTGATATTCTAAACAAAAAAGGCCAAATTGACTTACACTGAACACACCCCTTGCACGTGAAATCAAAACAAAGCAACACAAATTCTCAGGAAAAGGTGACAGACAACAGCTCCTTACAATGCTGGCTCCAATTAAACATTTATTAGCCACGAAACGTATCATTTTGGCCAGTGGTTCACCGCGGAGGCAGGAATTGGTCAAGTCATTGGTAAAGAAAACAGAAAATTATATCGGTCAGCTTTCTTATTAATAATTTCTTTATTTAAAGGGTCTCAATGCTGAATTGTGTCCATCCACTTTTGAGGAGAACCTCAATCCCGCCGATTTTAAAGATTTCTCTAAATTTATAGAGGCCACTGCCTTGGGAAAGGCTGAGGAGGTATATAATCGTTTAAAAACGGGTGATAATCAAGAAGAGCTATTGGTAATTGCTGCCGACACAATGGTAACAATGGGTTCAGAGATTTATGGTAAACCCAAAGATAATGCCGATGCCTTGAAGATGATAACAAAGTAAGAGGGGAGGAGGGGAATGGAAAATTTTATTGGTATAATTAATTGATTATCCGGTATGTATTACAGTCTTGCTGGTAAATGTAACACGGTCTTTACCGGTGTTGTGCTAAAACATTCCAAAGGGGTAC